TCTGTGATGGGTACCCAGGGTTCTCTGTCACGGTCTGTGATGGGTACTCGGATTCTCTGTCACGGTCTGTGATGGGTACCCACGGTTCTCTGTCACGGTCTGTGATGGGTCCGGAGGTTCTCTGTCACGGTCTGTGATGGGTATGGATTTTCTCTGTCACGGTCTGTGGGGGGGGGGGGGGTCCAAAATTTCTACCCTATACACTTCAACACTCCTTTCAGATCGTGTTTCACAAAATATAGGTTGATGATTATCAAGTGCTTGTTGAATATCCAGTCGATGATCATGTGAATTATCAAACGTAGATATAATGTGTTATTATCAAAAAAGAAATGTTTTTTTTTCTTTTTTTAGTTCAACGTTTTATTCAACTGGAATAATTAATGTTGATGCATTTGTTGGAAAAGCATCAGGTGCTATGCGTATCTTAAATGAATATATTGCAAATAAACAACGACAAGTTGGACAATCTGGTCTTAATAAACAATATGGTGTTCTTCCAGGTGGCGTTAATCCACAACCTTATTCTGTTCCAAGTAGTGTTAATCCACAACCTTATTTTGGCCCAGGTAGTGTTAATCCGCAACCTTATTTTGGCCCAGGTGGTGTTAATCCACAACCTTCTTTTGTTCCAGGTGGTGTTAATCCACAACCTTCTTTTGTTTCAGATGGTATGAATCCATCACATAGTGGTGAAAAGCATTGACAAGATAATTAATCTATCGATGAAATCAAATAAGATATTGAACTTTTAATGGATAACAAAAAACTATTTTTGAAATAATTTGATATATTTAAAAAAAAGAAATCATCAATAAATAAGAAAAAAAATGAAGAATATTCATACTTTACATGTACCAAGTACATCAATTGATCGTGCAGAACAGCCACTAAAACCAAGTTTTTTATTAACATCTAAATTTGCATATGCCTAAAAATGAAGACCAAATAATAATTATATTTATATAAAATAGAAATCCTACTTTAGCTACCTAATTCTGCTGATGACCATATTAAAAGAGGTTAAATTTATTTTGATGTTTAAGTTTGAATACCATAGATTGCTAAAACTTGTTGTAAACGAACTGATTCCAATATAGCAACAGCATGAATCATGAGATCAGAAAAAGTTTCCTAATTAAACAATAGTTATCTAGTTTTTAGTATAATTCAAATGAATAATTATTATTTTACATTTGATATCATTGATTGACTTGTTTATTATTATTTTTTGAATCGTATGATAAATTTGTTATTGATTTAAGTATATTTAATGAACAAGGAGCGCTCGTCGCTAGGACTTGCTTGACCCTCAACCGAATCTATTCTATTCATTTTGAGAATCATTGTCGGATAAATCGTCGATATGTATGATGCTACAGCCAGCTCAGTCTAAACAAATCTTCCACGTTTTACGATTTCCAAAAGCAAGATTGTCAATCTCAAATATGGAAAGTATAGCGTGCCCACGACTTCCTCATTATAAATGACATTTTTTTTGACTTTTATGGAGCATTAGTAAAGTGTTGATATCAATCGCCTGAACTACAATTGGCGTAGCTCTTTCGAAAAATATTCCACATTTGGTTGAAAGCTTTACCCAAGAATGGCTCATGTCAACCTCGTAAACAAGCAGTGCGTCGCTTGTCGGCGCCACTCGCGACTAGCCGATCGCAGATCCTATCTACTTGGTCGAGCTCTTCTGAAAACTATTCTACATTCTCTAGAAAACTTCGCGAAAGAAAGGCTCATATCAACGTTAGAAACTAACGGTAAGTCACTCGTCGGCGCCACTCACGACTAGCCGGCTCCCACATTCTATACTATTTCCTAACTAATCGTCTAGTTGCGTTACAATTGAACCAAATTGATTTTCGTTCCGTAAAAATTAGCGGATTTTTAATAGGGTGACTTCTAATCAGGAATCCTACAAACGCAAATGGAAAAAGAAACGAAAAAAGAAAGTAAAGAAAAAAGATAGAGAAACACACCATATCGAAGAAAATGCGTGTGACATAGCGATTTACCTTTGCATTTTGTGTCCGAACCCTTTAAAACTTCCTCCTTTGTTTCCCGGGGACGCACATTCGTAAGTCCCATAAATCGCGCAAGCTATTTCAAGTTTGACAAAATATCTTTCTTGTTTTAAATGTCAACCTCTCAAAGGAGGGTCTAGTCGTTCGTCGGTGCTACTCATGGCTAGCCGCTCACACATTTATGTCTGCTTCAAGAACTAATAGTGCAATTTCGTTCACAATCTAGCCCAATCACCTCTGACACCTTGTGAAAGGTTGTTAGGTTTACAATGAAAACCTTCAGACGCGAAATTCGAAAACTAAGGCTATTTTCCGCATGCCTAAGGATAAAGTGCCTTGTGTCGAACTTAATAGAATGTTGCTGTAGCATTTTACTGTAATTAATTCTTTATTTTTTTTAAATAATGTTTATTGTTGAATTTGCATTATTCACTGTCCATCATGCACGTTAAATTGATCAGAAGAACGTAGGAGTGCCTCGATTCATTAATTTTATACTGATATCTGCGAAATATTTCATGAGCAATAGATCGCTTGTTCTATTCGTTAGCTTTCTGCTCATGGATTGTCTTGGATATATCCACAAACAAATAATTTATGTGTCAATAAGTGGCATTCCACAAGTTGCGAAACAATTTCTAGACAGCTCTTGATTGTGGATTTAATTTATTTATGTATGATTACCATGGTCAGGTTTTCTAGACAAGAGCTTCTGTGTATATTAGAATATGCGGTGGTTCGCTAAAGTCAATTATGAATTTATTCAGTGAATTTACAGAGCAAGTTAAGCTAGCAGTTTAATCAGTGATGAAAGGAACAGAAATGCTAATAAATCAGAGAAAATGAAATAGAAAATGATTAGCCGATCAATCGGTACGAAACGAATATAATATATCACGACAATCCGGAATAATGCGCCCTCTTCCTTTTCGACCTCTGGTGATACTTTTTTCTGAAAATCCTTATGTGAGTTTTGTACACAAGCGTTTAAGTCGTATTCAATATCATGAGATGCAAATCCTTAGTACTATTCATCAATATCAACACTTAAAAATAACTTTACAAAAATACTTTACTATATAAAAATGTATTCCTCATTTACTCATCGGTCGACCAAGAAACAGAACAAAGAAATTTTACCAAAACCATAAACAAAAATTATTTGATAAATTACTTGCTTTCTGTACTGAGTGAATAAACACGATTAAATTTTTGTACGCAAGTTTTCGCGGTTCAGGATCTCAGAGGTCAAATCCGCAAATAAAGCTTTTCTTCATTCATTCATTCATTCAAAATACAAATATTCTCACTCTCAAAACAATACCATGTCAGTCAATATATATATAATCTGAAAAAAGTCTAAGATACTTGTGGCAAGTAATGATAGTTATTTCAATAAATAGTTGCTATAAATTCATATGTTCTGATTAGCTACTAAGTACATCGACAGTGTAGACACAGGAAAATGATGTTCGCCAATGTATCCTAACAAGAAAAAAAACAATATAAAAACTGCGTAATATCTTTGCATAAATCTATAGTCTATTAACATCGAATATTAAAGCAAAACTCTTTGTTGCTCGAATAAAACATAATTCTCTTAACAGGATAAAAATAACTATCAATAGTTATAAACGATCATGATATCAGATATTTGGAACAACAATGGCAGAGAGAGAAATTATCTTTTTTTTTTTCTTTCGTTCATTCAATTATTTGTTCATTGTTGATTTAGACTATAAAAAAAAATATATCATTATTCTCATTGCCGATCATTAACAATATCGGTCAAATAAATGAAATGATCATATATAAATATTCACATCTGTATGTCAATTAAAATACGTAGAAGTGTATTTAAATATAGAAGATTTATCGTTTAATTTAAATGATTTACCAGATGAAATTCTTATTATTATCTTAAAAAAATTGCATAATGTCGAAGTACTCTATTCTTTAATAGGTGTTAATAAACGACTCAATACAATTGCACAGGATTCAATTTTTACGAGCCATTTAGCATTAACAAATTACTTGAATGATTTCACCTATTCATTCACTGATCCAATGCTTGATCAATTTTGTTTATAAATTTTACCTTCGATTCATCATAAAATCAAATGGCTTTATCTTGAATCAACATCTATGGAACGTATTCTTCTTGCGACAAATTATCCTAATTTACATGAACTCAGTTTATATGATATTGATGTAGAAAAAGCTATATCTCTCTTTAATGGTTAGTTATTTTACTTTGATTATTTCATTAATTCTGAATAAATGAGAAGTAAATAAGAATTCAGTATAATTTTTTTTATTATATTTATAATATAGTCGAGTGGATCATTCAGTAATCTAAGTATGAATTTGTATGTTGTATTATTAGTTCAAAAGAAATTGAAAAAACAAATCAATAATATGATTTGATCAATATTAAAAATAATTAGTTTGTTTCTTAAGACATTTTTCATTTTTATTTAGACGACATTGCTTTTACTCATGTAAACAAAAATCAAATAGCATCACTTGTTATCGATATTAGTAAAGATAAAAACTACATTTCAAGACAAGACATCACTAATACTATATTTACAAATATTTTTACTATGTTCACCAATTTACAATATTTAAATTTCAGTCCAACTTTAATATGGCATCAACGATTATCATTTGACATGGTATCTCCAAATGTTCTTTCTTCAAATCTGTTAGAATTACATGTTTCTGTGATCTATTTCACTGATTTGCTTTATTTACTTAATGAATGTTTCAATCAACTTCGTATACTTTATGTTAATGTTCATCGAATTATTGGCAGAAGTCCAACAATCCATAGTGAGGTAGATTATTTCTGATTAATATCCAATTTATCAAAATGATTCTCTTTTCTAGGAAAAATTACCCAATCTTAGATGTTTTTCGCTATATTCTGATATGCGAGTACATTTTTATGATGAATTAATTGTACCGCTTCTAAATCGAATGTTAAATTTAGAAGAACTCGATTTACATCTTAGAGTCGACCGTTATAAAGGATTTATTGATGGAAATGATTTAAAAGAAAATATTATCAATTATATGCCAAGATTAAATAAATTTACATTTAATATTTGTTTATTCAATCGTACTTCTAATCAAATTAATTTACGTTCAAATGAAGATATTCAACGTACATTTAAAGATTTTAAAAATAATCAAATTATTTCTTGTGCGGACTATTTCCAAGAAAAAAAATATAGTTATTGTCATATTTATTCATATCCATATAGAATGAAATATTATGATAATATTACAAATAACTTTCCAGGTGGATTATTTAAATATGTTCATAAAGTATCATTATATGATGAACATCCATTTGAACATGAATTTTTTCTTCAAATTGCTCAATCATTTCCATTTATGAAAGAATTAACTGTAAATAATTGTAAACCACAGAAGAACAAATTATATAATGATAATAAAGATTTTTCAATAATTGAATATCCTTATCTTACTTCTCTTAGTCTAATTGAAGTTCATGATGATTATATCGAACAATTTTTACTTGATATGAAAATGTGTTTACCATATAATGTTCATCTTTATGTCAACTATGAATCTTTAAAAAACATGACATACAATTTTACAAGAGATACAACACGAATTAATTGTGCAAAAATCAATTATAGATGTACAATATTCAATTCTACATTTGACAATTTTCATTTTTCAAAACATTTCAAAGACTATTTTCTTCATGTAGATATAAATATGATTTAAATAAAACTCATTTATATATAGAATAAATCTATCAAAACTGAGCAGAAAGTTTTAGATTTTATTGAGAAGAGTAAAAATCTATACATATCGAAAATTAATGCTTAGAATAACATGTAATTATGAAAAAATAAGTGAAAAAAATTATTTTACTTACAAATCTAGCCACTTTTTACCCTACAACATCAATATATGTTTTTTTACTATTGAAAAATAAATTGACAATTTAGAAGTTGAGAAACAAAGATGTTAACAATTTTTTTGGATTTAAAGTCTCAAACACGTTATAATTAACTGCTTTACTAGTAAAGAAAGGTGTTTCTAAAGACAGTTTCTTTTATTTACCTATATAGAGATTTCCACTTTTCCAATATAGGAACTGAGAAAGATACATATTAGACTCGATCTTTGAGATTATGTCTGCCATGATTTGTCAGAAAATAGAGCAAAACCACCTTAATTAAAGACTATTCATTTCGATAATGAAGAATTTCTTCTTAATATAAGTGTTATTCAACAACCTAACTAACTTTTCTATTCGATTTTTATTTTCAATAGAAGTATTATTTGTAGGATACAATGATCAATCTGGTTGAATAAAGAAGGATGCATTTTGACTATCGAAGTAGTACTTATTGATCAGTAAGCAAATGTCTTAAAAATTGCGAGTAATAGTTTCTTTTGAGTCACATAAAAAAAAATCAATATAAATATTTAAGAATATCATATCAAAAGAAATATAAATCAATTTAATTCAGAAGAAAAGGTTTCCTATGTAACATAAGACAATCAGAAGATTTAAATAGCTTTTAATTATTAATCAATTATAAAGCTTGATCAAAATCTATTTTTGTAAGATTATTAATAAACTTAATATGATTTCTTATGATGATTTGAGAATAATTTAGTAAATGTTCGAAGTCACCTTATGAGATGCAATAGTAAAACATTCATGACTGTCCAATTTTCTCACATCAGCTAGTCTAACAATTTGATTATTTCTTTAGATATTCTTATCTCTTTTGCATTGTTGTAGTGTTCCATACAGTGCATTATCATCAACATTACTTTTAATTGAACAAACATCAGCACGTTTAGAAATAATTCGCGTATTATCAAATTCTTTTCGATCAGTTCTTAGTTTATCATCAAATGATTTAGTACATTGTGTTTATTTATGTGTAAATAAAGTTGCACCAGAATATGATGGAATTGAAATAGGTATTGGTGAAACAATAATAATAAAAGCAATTGCTGATAGTACAGGACGTACAGTTGAACAATTAAAATTAGATTATAAATCAAAAGAAGATTTAGGTCTTGTTGCTGAAGTAAATTTAAATTTAATTTTTTAAAAAATAAATATTTATTATTCATAGGCATCTCGTTCAACCCAACGAACTATGTTTAAACCAAAACCATTAACCGTTTCATTTGTTTATAAAAAAATTAAAAGAAATTGCACAATTAACTGAAAATAAAGTAACATTTTATTTTTTTATCTTTAAAATAATATTTTTTTCTCTTATAAGAGTCGACAACGTAAAAGTGATATAATAAAAAGTCTTTTAGTTTCATGTCAATCTCATGAAATTCGTTATCTTGTTCGTTGATTAATTGGTAAACTTCGTATTGGTTTAGCTGAACAATTCATGCTTGTTGCATTAGCACATGCATGTATTCGTAATGAATATTCAAATTTAAAAGAAAATACTTTAAAAAAACGTCTTGATTTTGGTTCACATGCTGTTAAAGATGCATTTTGTCAATGTCCATCATATGATATACTTGTTGATGTTATTGTTAATAAAGGCGGAATTAATAAATTAAAAGATTTATGTAAAGCAACACCTGGTATACCAATGAAACCAATGTTAGCACATCCAGCAAAAGGTATTGATGAAATATTAAAACGTTGTGGACAAAGTGAATTTGCTTGTGAATATAAATATGATGGTGAACGTGCACAGGTTTATATATACATGTTAGGTCCTTTTCCCCGTTTTCTTTATTATTCTTATTCCTTTCTCTTTAAAACAAAACAAGCGAATGAATCAAAAACAAAAAAGCAGCAAAGAATGTTGTTTCTCTCTTTCTCTCTTCTTCCATGATATACCTCCTTGTTTATTTTCAGAACAAAGAGATATCATGGAGCGACGAGAATGAATGCCATTAACGAGAGCAGTGATATTATAGAGAGAGCCCTCTTATGTCAGGAGATGTCTCTCCTGACATAACACCTCCCCCAGCGAGAAAAGATATGAAGTAGAACAAAAAGATACAATATAAAAAAGGGTTTGAATCTCATACAAAAAATAATAGCCAAAAAGACAAAAACAAGACGAATTTCGAATGATGAAGAAAGAAGATAAAAGCTTCTTTTTTTTTATTAGAAGAGGTATATCAGATGATGACCGGCAGAGAATAAGTATTAACTAATAAGTTGAAGACGATGGCGAAATGTAGATAAAGTGTATATAGAATGATAAGAAAGTAATGAAAAAATAGCGATGAAGAAAATTATAAACAAATAAGGCTTTTCGAATATTAACGATGATAAAATTCAGATGTGAAAAATATGCGAATGTAAATACAAAAGATAACATATGGATATGTGATGATTCTTGTGATGTGGTAGCGTAGGAAGAGAAAATTTCATCAGAGGGTGACTTGTTCCCGAGAATATACACGCCTAATATCGTTCGAATGGACTTGAAATTGTTGAAATTTGTCATCTTCAACAATAAATGATACTGGTGAGAGAATTCGAATGATTCGAGCAGGACCAGTGTATCTAGCTTTAAGTTTGTGTCGTCCAACAAAAATTTTCATCCATACAAGGTCACCTGGAACGAAGTTCTGATGTGATCGGTTTTTATCAAAACGAATTTTTGATAATTCTTGCTGATGCATAATATTTGCTTTTGCTTGTTTTAACCCTTTCAGTCCCGACTTTTTTTTTATCGAGTTTAAGTTTGTAAAAATATAGCGCTAAGCGGCTAGATGGTATTACGAAACATCTGGTTAAGTTACAACAAAAAATTGTGTAATTATATGAGTACATATTTATTCAGTTTATTGTTGCTATACATAGTTTTGCTGATACAACGAAAAACAATTTTTTACACAGAGACAAACACCACAAAAAATACATATTACACTCGTTCTTTTTTCTTTTTCTTTTGTACTACAATAAGCACATCTACGATAAGTTGAAACAACATCTGGTAAATGAGCTAACAATTGTGCTTTTTCCGAATTTTCTGTATCACTAATGCTCTCCTCGATTCAAATCTTCTTCCGATTACTCATTGCCAAAAGTCTTCCTAGTCGTTTTCTACTACAATAGTTACCTATCAGTGCGGTACTAATACATGATATATATTCTACTGTACTAATATTACTGTAAGAAAGATCTTTATAATAGATAAATGAGGAAAACTTTGAAAAATCACATGAACACGCTTCGATACACTAATCGATAATCTCTATTCATAAGAATATCTATGCAATCCTTCACAACTGTATCTTAACTACGAATATTTGTTGAAAATATTCCTTCTAGATCTTAAAAACCTCAAATAATTTTGAAATTTTTTGAAAAATACAAAATTTTCGCTAGGTGGGAAATATATATCCCACCGGGACTGAAAGGGTTAAAGCGGCGTTTCTATATTGTATCACCTGCGTCCAATAATCATGTGGTTTAGTAAAAACGAAGGTAGATGCAGGAGGTTTGAATGGATGCCGTGGTCGTCGTCCGAATGCTAGTTGATAAGGACTAAAGCCAGTAGAGCTGTATATACCATTATTGTAAGCATAAACAATAGATGGTAAAAATGTGTCCCAATTGTTTTGATCGGTATTACAATATTTGGCGATTTGTGTTACAAATGTCGAGTTCCATCGTTCAGTTTGTCCATTTGTCTGTGGATGATAGGGTGTTGAAAAAATGTGTTTACAACCAACTAACTATGAGATAGCTTGTATCAGTTCGTTCTTGAAGTGTGTTCCTTGATCAGTAATAATTACGTCTGGTGAGCCATGTACTAAAATAATTTCTTCCATTAAGATGCGAGCAGTATCTTGAGCTGTATTTGTAGGTGATGCTTTAGCAAAAACATAACCAGACAAACGATCAGTTATAACTAAAACATATCGATTTCCAGAAAGCGAAGTGGTGGTGGGTCCCCACCAATCCATACCTAGTATTTGAAAAACATCATTAGGCGGTTGGATAGGTTATAAAAATCCTGATGGTTTATGTCGATCCACATTAAATTGTGAACATTTATCACATGATTTAATATAAGATGTTATTGTGTCTTTCATGCTTGGCCAATAATATGTGTTTTTTAATGTAGACCATGTACGTCCAGTACCAAAATGACCACTTAGAGGATGATCATGATAAGCAGCCATTAGTTCTGGAATTAAGTTCGAAGGTGCATAAACAAGTTTAATAGTAGTATCAGCACGGCGAGCTAATTTGTACAGAATATCCTGGTGAATAATAAACGATGCATAATGACGATTATGGCGAATTTGTTGAATTATTTGTTGGATAGTTATATCGTGCGCTTGTTCAGAACGGATACGTGATAAAGTAAAATCATATAAGTGATTAGCCGTCGGTGGAGAAGAACATGTAGATGGAGATGTAGTTGATGTAGATGATGTATGTGGTGAAGGTGAACGTGGTTGAGCTTGAAGTTTGGATTGTGCTCTTGTTGTAACAGCATTAATTTCTGGATTGATACCGGCATTGCGAATACAAGTGTTTTTTGAAATAGATGGTTGGATAAATTGTGTACGTGGTGGTTTGGGTACTTCGTCAGACCAGTGTTGATCACCAATTGGCCAATCATCATATGCTACATTTGGTGTGGATGGATTAATGTTGATAGAGGCCGATGGAGGAAAATGTCGTGAAATATAATCTGCGGCAGTGTTGTTTGCACCTGCACGATACTTGACTGCAATAATTTGTGGCAACATATCTTGTAATTTAAAAAGCCAATTCATCACTCGTTTATTATTGATTTGTTTGTGATGAAAATTTTCAAGTGGTTTATGATCAGTTTCGACGATAAAATTCGAATCACCTATCTTTATTCAATGATAGTTATCATTATGCATTATCAATACATTGTTGACGTTCATATACCAAATCGAGGACTGCACGAACTATACAAAATTCATTAGTTTGTTAGAAAATAAATTTCTATATATTTACTCATGTTCTTCAGAAGAAAACCTTGTATATCGGTCACATATCCGAGACGATGTTCTTCTTCATCTGTTATGATACCAGCTCTTTGTCTTTCAGTGAGCATTCGTTTTTCATCCAAATACTGAAGATACTAAACAAAAAAAATATTTTTTCTATATTATTCAAACGTATATAAAATACAATTTTTATAATATCGTATGGTGTAAATAGGTGGACGTTCAGGACAATTGTTGATTCGACAGACCAACTATCATCTGTATCAAACGACATTAATACACGATCAACAAACTTTTAAAATTGTATAACGAATTGAATGAATCAATACAGTAAATTCAAATAATGTCTGTAGTATGAAAAGAATGCACGAAAGATAGAGAGAGGGAAAGAGAAAATTTTTTCGTACACAAAGAAGAATGCGCGTATCACTTCGTCGGACAACACGTATAGAAGATGCACGACTAGTCAGATTGACTGACGATATGATCGAATAAAATGTTGTTTTAACCTATATTTATGCATAGTCTATTCAAAGAATAGCACTGCTGTTAAGATAATAACAAGCAACCAATATTAACACGTTAATTACAAAAATAAAACCATCAATATTTATGTTAAATATCACTCATCTTTTTCTTAAGAAATTTTTAATTAGTTTTTACTGAGAAATATAGAATTCATGAAGAATAACTATTTTATTATTTGTTTTTGAATTTAATAACTGATGAAATATTTTCTATATGTATATGTAAGATATTCATCATAATTCATGGTCAGATGAATACAGAACGAATAATTAAAAACAAAATCCTTTACACCTGAAATTAAATTCTCTCAACCTTCTCTGCTCCATATTTTCAAAGTTACGAATAGCCAACTATACCTTTATCAGATAGGATTATTGCTCAAAAAAATCTAATACAAAATTCTTGTATAAATGATTTCATGATTTCCAGACTTGATTACAATTTAAATAACTTAACAGAAAAATATTAGTACGACGACTGTTACAAGATATCATAATTGATCAATAAAATATCGACATACCGATTTGTCTTATTCTTAATCTCAAATATAAGTGTTATAGCAATGTAATCTGCATTTCCCATACGAACTATACATTTCCATTATTTTATTATTTCTGTATTAAGTAAAAAGCAAATATTCAAGGAATGTCGTTCATAATAAAGGAAAATAACGAAAAAAATTTTCTGGATATATCATTGGTCGTAAATCAAAAATAAGACGTTTTAAGTTTGCGCAGTTAGTACGAGCAGCAGTATTTGCAAAATTCTCTGTTACCATAACTAAATGTTCATAATTAATATGTAATGTACGAAGAGAAGGTAGACATGTGTTACAATCGAAAAGAAATTGTTTTGTATAGTCGATGTATGATCCACAAAGATTAAGTCTGATTAGGTGAGAAAACTTGGCTACCACCAACGTCTTTTCATTTTGGTACTCTACTGTTATCTTCTTCTTTTGTGAATTTGGATTAAATACTACGAATTCTTTTAATAATGGAAAACATTGCGAGATTCGAAGAAAAAATTCGTGTTCAAATGGATGAATGAAATCGTGTACGTATAAATAACGAACAGTACAAAACAAACCGATAGGAAATTTATTTGAATGTATATGCATGCGATCCATAACAAATGGAAGCGAGTAAATATGATATTGACCTCTACTTAAAGGATTGTAGTCAGTATAACAGTCTAAATCATATCCTCTTTCGACGAGAGCATGACTTAGAACATCAGGTGGCGAAATAAGTTCTTCAAGTACTCTAACACCATCACTAATGATATTAAAGATAAATGTATGTAGATATAACATTGGACTAAGTATATCATTAACTAATGAATTACCATCGACGAATGTTCTTCGATTATAAACAATAAGTGATAATACGAGTTTTTCCAAATAAAACATTTGACTAATAAACGGTACAATTAGATTATCATATACAGTTGTTCGTCTCAGTGAAATTAATGAAAAACATTTGAGATTTGAAACAATTTTCTAAAGAGAAAAAAAGATAAGCATTAATATATGATATTTAGTTGATTATTTTATGAACAAACGAGAATCTTTCGAATTAGTAGATTGTATTTTTGAACTCTCTCGAAGAGCAGAAAATAGAAAGTATATTTAAAAGTTTCATTTTTTGCTTATTGTGTCGAAAAACTACAAAAACATCGGCAACACTTTTCTACAAATATCAAAGATGCGAATATTCCAGACAGAATCATCTCATTGATTTATCATACGTAGTTCCTAAGTTTTCAGATAGTAGATCACACCCTCACGAACAGTTCTGTTCATTAGTAAAGTGTTTAGTTTATATCTAATATTATCATTGACGATAATATTTCTTTATTTTTAAATAAATTCTCCATATACTATCGCTGTTAATATAGTTTTTTACTTCTTTTCACTACTCAGTTACCTATTTTGTCTCATACTAACATTGCTCGTTCGATCTTATTCATACATAAAGAAACTCATTATTTTTATAAGTCTTTTACCTTATCTTTGTTGACCATTGACGTTTGTCGAATTCGTTGAACATTAACAATGAGTGTGTGCATTTGGCTAAGACGTCCATCAAGTAGATAATAACAAACATCAAAATCAAATATTTTTATATTTAAACAAACAATATGAGATGAGTAGCATGCTGATAATGGCAAATCTACAGCTGAGATTGGTAAATATGAATAATGATCTTGAAAATAAAACTGAAGATGTGCTAGATTCGTAAATGTTTGGAAAACATCAGTGAAAACCCTTCGAGATAATTCTTTCTTTTGATCAAATACGTGTTCTTCATTAATCATAATAGCAAGATGTGAAATTTGATTTTTCAAAGTATGAATAATTGCTGATTTATTGTTGAACATTTTATATATTATGTCGTATTGAACATTGTTGAGAGTAAGTTTATGAAGTTGAGGATAATTTCCAATACGAAGAACACGATCAATTGAGAACAAATCAATAGTAAGACATTTAATATAGTGTTCAATACGAGGTATGATATCCAAACAAAATCGATCAAGCATAAAATTAATTTTCAGATTGTCAACATTGTCTAATATTTTTACAAAATCAAGAGATTGTGTAAAACTCGTATCCCGAGCCACTCGATCGAGTTTTCGATTGACTCCTATAAGTGAATATAATACATCCATATTATCGAGTTTGTTGAAAATATTAAGTAATATTTCATTGCTAAGTGTAAGAATATTTGCCGTTGAATGGGTCATGTGTATTTCTTAAATAAATGATATTGCGAATACAACGCTCCTTCTTTCTCTCTTTATATATTCGTTATACAGATAGGCGAATTTTCTCGCGCTGTCTGACGTGTTTTACAATGTGCAATATTTTCTCTCTCGTCTGAATTTCAAAGTGACCATGTATATAGTCAAATTTGTTCGAATGTGAACTCAGACACATCGACAAGAATTGATATATTATCAATCTAGTCAGTCATCACATAGAGATAAAAATGCATTTTACAGGCGATTGAAAGATGCACTTATGCATTAAAATGGAACTCGAAATTAAAAGCTAAAATTTTTAGAAAATAAAGAAAAATCCTAAATAAAAACATTACTAATTTTACTTTTCTTGACTGACACATAATTACAGAGTTATCACAAGTTTTTCACAGTTTAATGGTAGTATCCATTGTTTCTATGCAACATAACATGTGTTACTATCAAATATAGCGTGTATGGTAGTGTCGTCTGCAGTGTGGGAGTTAAAACTATTTTTCAAAAAGTTGATAGTTGAGAAAAACGGAAAAAAAGTTAAAATGGTTATAACTCGGGTTATAACTATCAACCATAGTTATAACTATCAACTGCAGTTATAACTTTCAACTGCAGTTATAACTTTCAACCGTAGTTATAGCTATTAACCTGTGTTATAACTGAAGTTATAACTTTCAATTTCATTAGCTTTCTTAATTTCGTAAGAAGATTTAATTATGTTGAAATGGTAATCACTTTGATTTATTGGCATCCTCGATGGAATAGATGGAAATACGCATATTTGCATTGTTCTTTATTTCAGAAGAGCAGTGATATAGAAATCCTTATGGAGTACTTTAATATATTCATCTGCAAGCTACGTTTTCTTCTGTTTATATGTCGAGTAAGAACGCACTCGTAAATTAATATTTTTCGTTATATGATTAATGATAATCTTAAGTCGTGAACAGTTGAGAACAATATTTAAAAAAAAAGAAATAGCTCTATTTCTAATTTTAATTCTTTATAATCGCGATCATCTACAATATATGTTGTGATGAAACTAACATAACGATCTCTGTCAGTATAATTACGTACGTTTTATTTCAATCCGAAATCATTGTATCAGCTGATTCTCTGTTCACTTTTATACGTTCACTACTAGTTAAGTAACATATGTAGTATTCTACTTTTTCCTTCTTTTTCCATATATATCACCGAACAAAGAAAAGAAAGAAAAGAATAAGAAAAACCAAGATGACAAGAGCAAAGAAAAGAGGCGACTAAGAAAAAAGAAGATACAATCAATATCTTTTTTATCCCAAAGGTAAGAAGAAACGATTGTTACATTATTTAGAGAGGAGGGTGTGGGTGTGGGTTTGGGTGTGGGTGGGTGTGGGTGTGGGTGTGGGTGGGTGTGAGTGTGGGTGTGGGGTGGGTGTGGGGTGGGTGTGTGGGTGTGGGTGTGGAGTGGGTGTGGGTGTGAGTGTAGGTGTGGGTCTTCTAGCCATTCACACCCACACCCACCCACATCCACACCCACACCCACCCACACCCA